CTGATCAGCAAACTGGAAATTAAGGCTCCTCGAGGGCAAAGTGATCATAATGATGGAATTTAGCATTAAGTTAGAGAGGAAGTAGTTAAGTCCGAAGCAAAGGTCTTGAATTTAAGTAGAGCCAACTTTGCTGGTATGAGAGAGGATTTAGCCAAAATAAACTGGGAAATTAGACTTAAGGATTTGACAGTAGACCAGCAATGGCAGATGTTTAAGGAGATAGTGCAAAATTCCCAGCGAGCACGTATTCCTTTGAGGAATAAGAATGCCACAGGAAAGGTGGCCCAACCGTGGCTCACTGGAGCAGTTAGGGACAGTATAAAGTTAAAGGAAGAAGCCTATAAAACAGCTAAGATGAGTAGTAAACCCGAGGATTGGGAGAACTTTAGGGATCAACAAAGGAGAAACAAAAAAGTGATTAAGAGGGAGAAAATGGAATATGAGGGCAAACCAGCGAAGAAAATAAAGACAGACTGCAAGAGTTTTTATAAATATATAAAGAGGAAGAGGCTGTCAAAGGTAAATGTGGGTCCGCTACAGCAGAGACGGGGGAATTATAGTAGGGGACAAAGAAATGGCAGAGTCATTAAACAAGTACTTTGCTACTGTCTTCACATTAGAAGACACTGAAAACGTACCAAGAATAGAGGGGAACCAAGAAGACAATGTTAGTGAGCAACTTGGGGGAATTAATATTAGTAAAGAAATAGTTTTAGGTAAATTATCAGGTCTTAAAACTGATAAATCCCCTGGACCTGATGGCCTCCATCCCATGGTTTTAAAAGAGGTGGCTACTGAGACAGTGGATGGGTGTCTTTCATCTTCCAAAATTCTCTGGATTCTGGAACGGTTCCCAGTGATTGGAAGATCGCAAACGTGACACCACTATTTAAGAAGGGTGGGAGAGAAAAGATGGGGAACTATAGACCAGTTAGTCTGACATCGGTGGTAGGGAGAATTCTTGAATCCTTAATTAAAGATGTCGTTATGGGATTCCTGGAAGACCATAACAAGATTAGGCAGTCAACATGGCTTTACAAAAGGGAAGTCACGCTTAACTAACCTTTTAGAGTGTCTTGAAGATGTATCTGCAGGTTAGACAGGGGGGAACCAGTAGATGTAGTATATCTAGATTTTAAGAAGGCCACACAAAAGGCTATTGCACAAGGTTAAGGCCCACGGGATTAATGGGAACATATTAGCACAGGTTGAAGAGTGGCTAACGGGTAGAAAACAGAGAGTCGGGATAAATGGGTCATTCTCGAAGTGGCAGGAGGTGACTATCAATCTACGACTGTTTGTGGGACATTGCTGTGCGCAATTGGCTGCCGTGTTTGCCCACAAATATACAGTCAATTCACTTTACAGTATATTCTGTGAAGCACTTTGGGACGTCTAGAAGACGTGAAAAGCGCTATATCAAATGCAAGGATTATTATTATTATTATTATAGTGGAGCGCCACAAGGATCAGTGCTGGGCCTCAGCTATTTACAATTTACATCAATGATCTGGACGAGGACATTGACTGTAACGTATCTAAATTCGCGGATGACACTAAACTCTGTGGGAGAGTGAGCTCTGAGGATGATGCAAAAAGATTGCAGCGGGATATAGATAGGAGAGGGGAGTGGGCGAGTAGGTGGCAGATGGAATTTAATGTGGGAAGTGTGAAGTGATTTTGTTGCCCAGTCGGGTATCTAAGAGTAAGAGACTCCAAACCCAACTGAGGATTCCATACACACACCTACACATGGAAATCCCAGAGAGAGATTGTTGGAATGGAATGCGTTCTCTCTCTCTCTCTGGAGGGACACATCCTGTTTACCTAATTCCGGAGAGTATTGAGCACAGGTTGGCAAGAACCAAGGTTTGGGGGGACCCCAGAGTGTGTGTTGGGGTAACTGCTGGAGTCTAACCGGCTAAACCCACACAGCTTGGCAATGGCGACCAATTAAATGGTGAGGATGCTATAGCCACAGTGGGTGAGATAAAGCTTTGCAACTCTCTCTCTCTCTCTCTCTCTCGGTGTCACGTTTGGAGTGAGAGTTTACGATGTTGGTGGTTTTGCTGTGTGAGGCTGACAGTGCTGTGGGGTTCAGCCCCTCTTCCTCCTCCTCCCTCCCGCTTACAGACCCGTTATCTCTGGGGGAGTTTGAAACTTCCATTACATCATTTCCTGCCTCTGAATGAGAACTGATCCTAATCGAGAAAACCTGCGAATTTATGAGGGTTAAAAATAAACTGCAAAAATAAAAAGCAGCAAATGCAACCAGTCAGCCCTTTGCTCCATCTTCGTTTCCCCCCCTCGCCCCCACCTTTCTCTGGGTCAGAAGGTTGTGGATTCAAGGCCCCATGTTAAGGAAATCTGGGCTCATGGTCTCGGCTGATGCTCCAGTGTGGAGCGGGGAGGAGAAACAACTACAACAACGTGGAGGCCTGTAGCTCAGTGGTTGGAGCCCTCACCTCGCAGGCGAGAGGACCTGGATTTGATCCCCAGGCAGGGTGAAGGTTCCTTACTCCACACGCCTCGGTTTACCAGCAGTAAATAGGAACCCGGTTGTTAATGAATTGGATGATCACTTTCTGGGGGTAATAATCCCTGCAAAAAAAAGTAATAATTTGGTCACTGAATCCACGACTGTTTGTGAGACACTGCTGTGCGCAATTGGCTGCGCTTTACAGGATATATGTTTTACCCACAAACTATAGAGTCAATTACTTTACAGCATAATAATAATAATAATCCTTGCATTTGATGTAGCGCCTTATCACGTCGTTGAGATGTTTCAAAGCGCTTCATAGGATACGCTGTAAAGTGAATTAACTGTGTATTTTGTGGATGAACCGTATATCCTGTAAAGTCTTTGAGACAACATGATCAGCGGCTATATCAACAACAACAAAATTGCATTCATATAGGGATAGATAGGGAAAGCTGTTTCCGCTGGTAGGTGTGTCTGTGACCCACGGTCACAGTCTGAAGATATCACCAAAAGAAGCAGAGGGGAGGTTAGAAGAAATGTTTTCACTCAGCGACTTGTTGGGATTTGGAATGATCCGCCCGAAAGGGCAGTGAAGTCCGATTCCATAACAGCTTTTAAGAGAGAACTGGACAGGTATCGGGGAAGACGGTTTGTGGGGTTATGGGGAGAAAGCTGGTGATTGGGGTCAGTGAAAGTGACGCTCTGTCAAAGAGCCGCACAGACTCGATGGGCCGAATGGCCTCCTGTGCCGTAACATTCTATGAATCTATGATTCTATGATATAGTGCCTTTCATGTTGGGAGAATGTCCCAAGTTATGGACCCGAGCTGAGGGGTGGGAGAGGAGGGAAGGGCATGGGGAAGCAGGGAGATCAAAAGCACGGTTGAAGAGGAGGGTCTTGAGATGGGTTTTGAAGCTGGTGAGGGAGGGGGCGAGGCAGAGGGACTGCAGGATAGAGTTCCAGAAGGTGGGGGCAGAGTGGCGGAAGGCCTGCACGCCAGTAGTGGGGCGAGCGACATGAAGCAGGCCAGAGCCCACTGAGCGGAGGGAGCGAGCAGGAAAGTAGGGGGTTAGGAGGTCACAGAGGTCGGGGGGAGCAAGACCATGGAGGGCTTTGAAGGTGAGGACCAGGATCTTGAACTGCATCCTCTGTGTGATGGGAAGCCAGTGGAAGGATGAAGCGTTCTGAGACGTTGCCTGGCATGGAGGGTGCTGTAAAAATGCAAGTTGTTGTTGTATTATCACTGATAGGAATGTGTGGAATTCTATAGATAAGCAGGAGATGCCCCTCCAGGGAGAGAGAGGGAGAGAGAGAGAGGGTATTCCATTCCAACCATCTCTCTCTGGGATTCCCATGTGTAGGTGGGATGGATGGAATTCTCAGTTGGTTTGGAGTCTCTTAAGCAGGTGATGGGTTTCCACACGTGTCAGACACTTGGACTGAATCTGGATGTCTCTCCCTCTCTCCCTCTCTCCGTCTGCAGTGACTATTTCATCACCTGCCCTGTGGTGAGGATGGCCGATCACTGGGCCAGCAACAGCCAGGCCAGCGTTTACCTGTACCACGTACCGGACAGACTCTCCCACTGCAGGTAACTCCTTCCCAATATCCCCCCCATTCCCATCTTCCTCTATCGCCCCCACCCCAGCCCTATCTCCCTCTATCCACCCCACTCCCCCCAGCTCTATCCTCCTCCTCCCCCCTTCCCAGCTCTGATGTTGAACTCACAGTCCAGACTGACACTCCAATACAGTGCCGGGAGGAGCGATACATTGTCAGAGTTGCCGTCGTTCAGATGAGATGCTAAGGATCCCGCAGCGCTGTTGGAATAGAGAAGGGAGTTCCTCTCTAGCAGTGTCCTCGCCAACAATCCCCCAAATACTTAATGGTCACAATTGGTGACTGGATATTTTGTGGGTGAAACGCGGCAGTCAGTTACACACAGCAGCGTCTCACAAACAGTCAAGGATTGAGTGACCAAATTATTATTGTTTTTTTTTAAGGGATTATTATCCCGGAAAAGCGATTCGCCAATCGACTAACAACCAGGTTCCTCCTTACTGCTGGTAAACAGAGGGGTGTGGAATAAGGAAACTTGCCCAACTATTCACCCTGGGCGGGAATAGAACCCAAGTCTCTCGTCGCGAGGCGAGTGCTCTAACCACTGAGCTACAGGACTCCAATAGAATAGAAATAGAAACCTGCCCTCGGTATCTGAGTCAGTCCTACACATAGCTTAACAGAGCAGCCAAGATGCCACCAGCAAGGTCCCAACCCAGCACCACGAGACGAAGGGACTATTTGTTCTGGCTTTGGGGCTTCCCCTTCCCCCTCCCGACCTCCCCCCCATCTGTCAGTGTTCTAACCTCTACTGTTGGCGGCAATGACCACTGAGGCTTGGGAAAGCTGGTTGATTTTGGAGCGAGGCCAAGAGGAGGTTTGGGCTGGGAGTTAATTGGACCTCAAACTCTCCTCCAAAGATTATTATTTGGATGAATGACAGTAGCTGCCGATTGTGAAGGAGAGAGGCCCACCCTTGGGTCTTTGCAGTGAGCTATTTTGGCACAGCACAGAGCCTACAATTGCCTTTGAGCTGAGAGTCCAGGCTGATGCTCCACCGCAGTGTCTAGGCTGGGGTTACAGCAATGCATGGTTATACCTGCCGGCCTTCAAGTGGGATATTGAACCAGTTCCCGGCCAACAATCCCCCAGATAAAATCTCATTTCATGGCTGTTTGTGTTGACACCTTCAACTCGGTGCTCGATGTTAATTGCTGTGAATCGCTGTGAGATATTTTGACATAACAAGATAATACAGTGGAGTCCTGTGGGGTATTGATCAGAGCACTCGCCTGGTAAGCGAGAGGACCCAGGTTTGTTGTTGGACGCTGCTGTGCGCAATAGGCCACTGTGTTTTGCCCACAAAATAAACAGTAAATTCACTTTCAGTACATTCTGTCTCAACTTGGTGATGAGGCTCTATATCAAATGCAAGGATTATTATTACTACTACTATTATTATATACTTCCTTTCTCTCTATGACCTCACAGTGATGGGGCTGACTTCCGAGTCATCAGGTCGCCACTGACATCACTTCCTGCTCCACTGTGCACGTGGATATGACATAGTTTACAACTTGACATAAAATAATAATAATCCTTACGTTTGATATAGCACCTTTCACGTCGGGTGGACGGACGCCCCAAAGCCCTTCAGACGAACGGTGTGAAGAAACAAGAAAAATGAGACTGGCCGCTCCCACACATTGCAGAAATAGTTCACATAGCTTCACGGAGATGAAGAGGAACCTCAGAAATATTCTTACAGTAAACAATTGCGTCTCTGGAAAACAAGACACATCATGGCTTACTGAATGTCTCCCCAGCACATTGGGCTTTGATCTCAGCCTTCAATTGCCTTTCTCTTGGCTCCCGCACTACTCACTCTTGGCTCCCACTCTATCCTCACTTGAGTGGCTGCCCGGTTGCCAGAGCAGAGGAACTTGTGAGAAGCAAAATATTCTCTCTACCTTTAATCTCCCCCACTACTGGGAGACAACGCTTTGAGTTAATTTTGGGAGTAAAAAGTGGGGTTGTTTCCTGTGTGTAGAATGACTCCCGTGAGGTGGAGTCCTGTAGCTCAGTGGTTACAGCACTCGCCTCGCAAGCGAGAGGACCTGGAACCAATTCCAGGGCGGGTTGAAACCTTAGGCAAATTTCCTTACTCTGTTTGCCCAGCAGTAAATAGAAACACGGTTGTTAGTCGATTTGTGGATTGTTTTCCAGGCGTAATAATCCCTCCTCCTCCCAAATATGCGGTCACTCAACCCACAAGTGTTTGTGGATACTGCTGTGTGCAACTGGCTGCTGCTTTTCACCCACAAAATATACAGTCACTTTACAACATTTGCAAACAAAGAGCAAAATTATATTTGTAAAGCGCCTTTCACGTAGGGAGGACGTCCTAAGGCGCTGAACAGTCAGGGAACAGGACCCAAGTGTGGGGGGGGGGCAGGATTGGGATGAGGGAGGGCAGAGAGAGGTAGGAGGGCAGCTGAAGGCAAAGTTGAGAAGGAGGGTCTTGAGTTGAGAAGGCAAGAGAGGGAATGAGGGGAAGGGAATGTGGGACGGAGTTCCAAAGGGTGGGAGCAGAGAGGCTGAAAGCACCGCACACAGTGCTCCAATGGTTGGGCGGGTCGGGCGGGAGACCTGGAGCAGCAGGAGTCTGCTGAACGGAGGGAGCGGACAGGTTGATAGGGGGTCTGCAGGTCAGAGAGATGGGAGGGGGTGAGGCCGTGGGGGGCCTTGAAAGTGAGGACGAAGATTTTGATTCTATCCTCTGGGGGGATGGGGAACCAGTGGAGTCGGGCGAGGGTGGGGGTGATGGTGTCACGGAGGCTGGTGCGGGAGAGGACACGAGCTCTGGATGATCTGCAGCTTGTGGCAGTGTAAATAGTGTAAAATATAGTTTACAGTGTATTCTGTGAAGCGTTTTGAGACAGTTCGAAGATGTGACGATGTGCTATGTCAAATGCAAAGATTATTGTTATTATTACACAGAGAGCATCAACACAGGAGGACAATCACCTCCCTTTGGGGTTGGGTGGGGGGGGTACAGTATCACCTCCCTTTGGGTGGGGGGGTACAGTATCACCTCCCTTTGGGGTTGGGTGGGGGTACAGTATCACCTCCCTTTGGGGTTGGGTGGGGGGGGTACAGTATCACCTCCCTTTGGGGTTGGGTGGGGGGGTACAGTATCACCTCCCTTTGGGGTTGGGGGGGTACAGTATCACCTCCCTTTGGGGTTGGGGGGGTACAGTATCACCTCCCTTTGGGGTTGGGTGGGGGGGGTACAGTATATGTTGGTTCTGTAAACACAGCGACCAAATTCTTTCAAAAAATGTTGATACGGATGGCAGAGTGTTCTGATTAGAGTTGAGAGCTCCGGGCGGGGAGTGAGCCCCAGCACCGACACCACGGGGGGAGAGAGAGCGAGACAGAGAGAGAGAGAGAGCAGGGAATGGGGTGAGAGTAGAGAGCCCCAGTGGGTGGGGGAGGGAGTGGGGAAGGGGAGGGATGAAGTGTAGTGTGACGGAATGTGTAACACTGTGAAGAGAGATTGCCTTATCGCCGGTGGGGGTGGGGAGTGGGGGGAGTGGGGGGTTGGGGAGTGGGGGGGTGGGGGGTGGGGGGTTGGGGGGTGGGGAGTGGGGGGGTGGGGGGAGTGGGGAGTGGGGGGGTATGGGGAGTGGGGGGGAGTGGGGGTGGGGGGTTGGTGGTGATGAAAGGAGTGAGTTACAGTTTAGTGGTTGTCTCACTATGTAACTCATCCACTTTGAGCACTGTTCCATCAGTAAAATCTGTCATCTCAGAGCCGGGGAGAAAAACACAGCAAATCCCCTCTCCCCCTCACACCGACTTCACTCGGAGTTGATGGATTTTTCATACACTTAACTCTTTCAAGTCCTTTGAGTCTTTACCTGTCCAATTGTGATAGAAAGTTTACAGGACAGTAAAAGATCATTCAGCCACTGGCGCTCTCTACTCTCACCCCATTCCCTGCTCTCTCTCTCTCTCTCTCTCCCCATGGTGTCTGTGCTGGGGCTCGCTCCCCCACTGGCGCTCTCTACTCTAACCCCATTCCCTGCTCTCTCTCTCTCTCTCTCTCTCTCTCTCTCCCCATGGTGTCTGTGCTGGGGCTCGATCCCCCACTGGCGCTCTCTACTCTAACCCCATTCCCTGCTCTCTCTCTCTCGCTCTCTCTCCCCATGGTGTCTGTGCTGGGGCTCGCTCCCCCACTGCAGCTCTCTACTCTAACCCCATTCCCTGCTCTCTCTCTTTCTCTCTCTCTCTCTCCCCCCATCGTGTCTGTGCTGGGGCTCGCTCCCCCACTGGAGCTCTCTACTCTAACCCCATTCCCTGCTCTCTCTCTCTCTCCCCATCGTGTCTGTGCTGGGGCTCACTCCCCCACTGGAGCTCTCTACTCTAACCCCATTCCCTGCTCTCTCTCTCTCTCTCTCTCCCCCCATGGTGTCTGTGCTGGGGCTCGCTCCCCCACTGGCGCTCTCTACTCTAACCCCATTCCCTGCTCTCTCTCTCTCTCTCCCCATGGTGTCTGTGCTGGGGGTCGCTCCCCCACTGGAGCTCTCTAATCAGACTGCATTTCAGACACAAGAGACTGTGTTTCATGGGGGGGAGGGGGTGGGGCGGTGGAGAGAAGGCATTTCACATGGGAAGATGGTGTTTCATAGACTGTCCTTTGGTTGACACGTGAAACTGAAGCCCTGTATCCCTGTTCTGGCCGACGTTAAAGAGAAGGTAGTTTCCCTCTCTCCCGGCGTCTTTGCCAACTATCCACCAGATAAAACAAATCAGTCACTCATTCCATGGCTGTTTGTGGGCTGTTGCTGCGTGCAAACTGCCTGCCGTGTTTGAACTAAAACCACACAAGTCACTGTAGCGGAAAATCGATTCACCACAAAGAGCTTTGAGATGTTTGCTGTTATTTTCATTTTGCTCATTTGTGTGGAGACGAGGAGCCCCTTCACGGTGGAAAAAGTATACTTTTTAAAATCATTCCTAAATCCAATCATTTTGACATAATTTTTGTATTCCTTGACTCCCAGCAGTGAGGACCTTGTGAGCAGTGAGGACCTTGTGAGCAGTGAGGACCTTGTGAGCAGTGAGGACCTTGTCCGCAGCAGGATGGACCTTCCCCTGGATGTACAGCTGATGTTAGGGCTTCCCCTGCGCCCAGACCGAGAGCAGCGTTACACAGCGAGTGAGCGCGCCCTGTCTCTCGCTGTCACACAGTATCTCGCTAACTTCGTCACGTCGGGGTGAGTGACGTCCTGACATCATTCCCCCTCAACAACAACTTGCATTTGCACTGGGCCCCTCACGCAGGGCAGTGTCCCAGAGCGCCTGACAGTGATGGAGCACGGCGCCAGGTGAGGGGGGGGGAGGAGGTGACCGATGGTCAAAGAGGAAGGTCTTCAGACGCGACCTGTAAATGGGGAAGGAGCGTGTGAGGTGTTAGTGTCAACATCAGTGTTATTCCTGTAGCTCAGTGGTTAGAGCTCTCACCTCACAAGCGAGAGACTTGGGTTCGATTCCCGGACGGGGAAAAATGTTGGGCAAGTTTCCTTACACCACACCCCTCTGTTTACCCAACAGTAAGTAGGAACCCAGTTATTAGTCAACTGGCGGATTATTTTTCTGGGGTTAATAATCCCTTCAAAAAAAATAATAATTTGGTCACTCAACCCACGGCTGTGTGTGGGACAGACGCTGCTGTGCACAATCGGCTGCTGTGTTTCACCCACAAAATACACAGTCAATTCACTTTACAGTGTATTCTGTGAAGCGCTTTGAGACGTATCGAAGACGTGATAAGGGGTTATATCAAATCCAAGGATTATTATTATAGTGTTAACATCAGTGTTAGTTACTGTACACGGACTCTCTGTGCACTGACTCTCTCTGTACGCGGACTCTCTCTGTACGCGGACTCTCTCTGTAACTGACTCTCTGTACACGGACTCTCTACACTGACTCTCTCAGTACACTGACTCTCTCCACTGACTCTCTCTGTACACTGACTCTCTACACTGACTCTCTCTGTACACTGACTCTCTGTACACTGACTCTCTCTGTACACTGACTCTCTACACTGACTCTCTCTGTACACTGACTCTCTGTACACTGACTCTCTCTGTACACTGACTCTCTCTGTACACTGACTCTCTGTACACTGACTCTCTGTACACGGACTCTCTCTGTACACGGACTCTCTACACTGACTCTCTCTACACTGACTCTAAACTGACTCTCTCTGTACACTGACTCTCTGTACACTGACTCTCTCTGTACACTGACTCTCTGTACACTGACTCTCTGTACACTGACTCTCTCTGTACGCTGACTCTCTCTGTACACTGACTCTCTCTGTACACTGACTTTTTCTGTACACGGACTCTCTCTGTACACTGACTCTCTGTACACGGACTCTCTCTGTACACGGACTCTCTCTGTACATTGACTCTCTCTGTACACGGACTCTCTGTACACTGACTCTCTCTGTACATTGACTCTCTCTGTACACAGACTCTCTGTACACTGACTCTCTGTACACTGACTCTCTGTACACTGACTCTCTCTGTACACTGACTCTCTGTACACTGACTCTCTCTGTACACTGACTTTCTGTACACTGACTCTCTCTGTTCGCTGACTCTCTCTGTACACTGACTCTGTCTGTACACTGACTCTTTCTGTTCGCTGACTCTCTGTACAACAACAACAACAACAAGATTCCATTTATAAAGCGCCTTTCACGTCAGGAGGACGTCCCAAGGCACTGCACAGTTGGGTCATGACCCGAGCATTGGGGGGAAATGGTCAGGGTGAGGGGAGGGGAGGGAGGGAGCGAGGAGGGGGGAAATGGTCAGGGTGAGGGGAGGGAAGGGAGGGAGCAAGGAGGGGGGAAATGGTCAGGGTGAGGGGAGGGAAGGGAGGGAGCGAGGAGGGGGGAAATGGTCAGGGTGAGGGGAGGGGAGGGAGCGAGGAGGGGGGAAATGGTCAGGGTGAGGGGAGGGATGGGAGGGAGCGAGAAGGGGGAAGAGAGTCGAGAGGGGAGCTGAAGGCACACTGAAGGTACACTGACTCTCTCTGTACACTGACTCTCTCTGTACACTGACTCTCTCTGTACATTGACTTTCTGTACACTGACTCTCTCTGTACACTGACTCTGTCTGTACACTGACTCTCTGTACACTGACTCTCTGTACACTGACTCTCTGTGTACACTGACTCTCTGTACACTGACTCTCTGTACACTGACTCTCTGTACACTGACTCTCTGTACACTGACTCTCTGTGTACACTGACTCTCTGTACACTGACTTTTTCTTTTTTGTTGATGGTGTGGTGTTGATGGTGTTTTTGTTGACGGTGTTGGTGTTGATGGTGTTGGTGTTGGTGGTGATGGTGTTGTTGATGGTGTGGGGTTGATGATGTTGGTGTTGTTGATGATGTTGTTGGTGTTGTTGATGGTGATGGTGTGGATGATGTTGGTGTTGTTGTTGGTGTTGTTGATAGTGTTGTTGATGATGTTGTTGGTGTTGTTGATGGTGGTGTTGGTGATGGTGTGGTGTGGATGATGTTGGTGTTGATGATAGTGGTGATGGTGATGGTGTGGATGATGTTGGTGTTGGTGTTGGTGTTGTTGATAGTGTTGTTGATGATGTTGTTGGTGTTGTTGGTGGTGGTGTTGGTGATGGTGTGGATTATGTTGGTGTTGATGGTGTTGGTGTTGTTGATAGTGTTGTTGATGATGTTGTTGGTGTTGTTGGTGGTGGTGTTGGTGATGGTGTGGGGTTGATGATGTTGGTGTTGATGGTGTTGTTGATGATGTTGTTGGTGTTGTTGATGGTGATGGTGTGGATGATGTTGGTGTTGTTGTTGGTGTTGTTGATAGTGTTGTTGATGATGTTGTTGGTGTTGTTGATGGTGGTGTTGGTGATGGTGTGGATGATGTTGGTGTTGATGGTGTTGTTGATGATGTTGTTGGTGTTGTTGATGGTGGTGTTGGTGATGGTGTGGATTATGTTGGTGTTGATGGTGTTGTTGTTGTTGATAGTGTTGTTGATGATGTTGTTGGTGTTGTTGATGGTGGTGTTGGTGATGGTGTGGATGATGTTGGTGTTGATGGTGTTGTTGTTGTTGATAGTGTTGTTGATGATGGTGTTGGTGTGGATGATGTTGGTGTTGATGGTGTTGTTGATGATGTTGTTCGTGTTGTTGATGGTGATGGTGTGGATGATGTTGGTGTTGTTGTTGGTGTTGTTGATAGTGTTGTTGATGATGTTGTTGGTGTTGTTGATGATGTTGTTGGTGGTGTTGTTGGTGTGGATGATGTTGGTGTTGATGGTGTTGGTGTTGTTGATGGTGGTGTTGGTGATGGTGTGGATGATGTTGGTGTTGATGGTGTTGTTGTTGATAGTGTTGTTGATGATGGTGTTGGTGTGGATGATGTTGGTGTTGATGGTGATGGTGTTGTTGATGATGTTGTTGGTGTTGTTGATGGTGGTGTTGGTGATGGTGTGGATGATGTTGGTGTTGATGGTGTTGTTGTTGATGGTGGTGTTGGTGGTGTTGTTGGTGTGGATGATGTTGGTGTTGATGGTGTTGTTGTTGTTGATGATGTTGTTGGTGTTGTTGATGGTGGTGTTGGTGATGGTGTGGATGATGTTGGTGTTGATGGTGTTGTTGTTGTTGATAGTGTTGTTGATGATGGTGTTGGTGTGGATGATGTTGGTGTTGTTGATGATGTTGTTGGTGTTGTTGATGGTGGTGTTGATGATGGTGTTGGTGTTGATGATGTTGATGGTGGTGTTGGTGATGGTGTGGATGATGTTGGTGTTGATGGTGTTAGTGTTGTTGATGATGGTGTTGGTGTGGATGATGTTGATGGTGATGGTGTTGTTGTTGTTGATGGTGGTGTTGATGATGGTGTTGGTGTGGATGATGTTGGTGTTGATGGTGTTAGTGTTGTTGATGGTGGTGTTGGTGGTGTTGGTGATGGTGTGGATGATGTTGGTGTTGATGGTGTTGTTGTTGTTGATAGTGTTGTTGATGATGGTGTTGGTGTGGATGATGTTGGTGTTGTTGATGATGTTGTTGGTGTTGTTGATGGTGGTGTTGATGATGGTGTTGGTGTTGATGATGTTGATGGTGGTGTTGGTGATGGTGTGGATGATGTTGGTGTTGATGGTGTTAGTGTTGTTGATGATGGTGTTGGTGTGGATGATGTTGGGGTTGATGGTGTTAGTGTTGTTGATGGTGGTGTTGATGATGGTGTTGGTGTGGATGATGTTGGTGTTGGTGTTGATGGTGTTAGTGTAACACATAGGAAGAGATATTGTGGGGAATGGAGTGGCTGAGGAATGCTGTGGTCCCTGTGATGGGGAGATGGCAGCCTGTCTCAGCCTGTGACGCCCACTCGCCACGTCCCATTTATAGCTCCTGACTCAATGCTGGAGCTTGACCTCAGTGTGTGTGACTAACAGAGAGCTGAGAGCAGCTTGTGCTGGACAGGCAGGCACTGGGCGGGAGGGGAGAGAGGGCAGGGGAGAGAGCGGGCAGGAGAGAGGGGAGGGTTCAAATCCCAGATATTACCAACCATCCTTGGGAGGAGACGTTAACCCGAGGTCCCGTCTGCCTGTTCAGGTGGATGGTAAAGATCCCGCGGGGCTATTGGAAAAGAGAAGGGAGTTTCTCTCTCTCTCCCGGTGTCCTGGACAACAATCCCCCAAATAATATTGCCCACTCGCCCCACGGCTGTGATAAGGGGTATATCAAATGCAATATATGTTATTATTATAACTCAAAATGCGGTTGTGGTTTTACATTCGATACAGCGTCAAACACCACAAAGGGCTTCACAGAGAACTGCTGGGAGTGTGTGTGTTTGTGGGGCATTGCTGTGAACAAAATGGCCGCTGTATTCTCCTCTCCCCGACACACTCCTCAGAGCTGAACTGGCCCCAAGGTGATGTTTGGCAACAGGTTATCAGAATCCAGTCCCCCCTCTGTGCCGGTCTCCAGTCCGGGTCCTGACCAGGAGGGGCCGCAGTGTCCCTCTCCCACTGCTGATGGCAGCACAGCCCGGCCCGGCTCATCAGCAGGACCTGGAAGGGCCGACCAGTCACTGGGGGCCGGGAATCCTCCCCCTCAGCTCCTGGTAACCCCACAGCCAAAGCCCTAACTAACGGGGAGGGGGTCCTCGCTGGACAAGCAGCGGGAAAGCTGCCGGACAGTGATATCAATGGCCGAGCGGTGTGGGTTTAGTGGGTTACACTCCAGCAGTTACCCCAACACACACTCTGGGGCCCCCCCAAACCTTGGCTCTCGCCAACCTGTGCCTAATACTCTCCGGAATTAGGTAAACAGGAAGTGTCCCTCCAGAGAGAGAGCGCATTCTATTCCAGACAGAGGGGAGATTTCCGTGTGTAGGTGACAGACGTATATGGAATTCCCAGTTTGGTTTGGATACTCTTAAGGATGGTGACGGGTTTCCGTGTGTGTCAGACACCGGCAGGTCACGGTGACGGGTTTTCGTGTGTGTCAGACACCGGCCGGTCACGGTGACGGGTTTCCGTGTGTGTCAGACACCGGCTGGTCACGGTGATGGGTTTCCGTGTGTGTCAGACACACGGCTGGTCACGGTGACGGGTTTCCACGCGTGTGTGTCAGACACTTGGTTCCTGGTCACGGTGATGGGTTTCCGTGTGTGTCAGACACCGGCTGGTCACGGTGACGGGTTTCCGTGTGTGTCAGACACCGGCTGGTGCACAAAGCTGATTGCCTCCGCACCTCAGGCGCTGACAGCATCAGCATCCAAGGCCGCACTCTCCACCTCTCAAAGCCATCAGGAACCTCGGGGTTCCCCTCGACCCTGAGCTGTCCTTTCTCCCTCATATCCGCACCACAACTGGCACCGCCTTCCATCACCTCCGGAATGTCGCCAGACTACGGCACTACCTCACCCCTCACGCGGCTGAAACTCTGGTCCACACCTTTATCACCTCAAGGCTGGACTATGGGACCTCTCTCCTCGTCGGCCTTCCCGGCCCTCCCTCCACACTGCAGGTCATTCAGAACTCTGCAGCTCGTGTACTGTCCCACACCAGACACCGCGCCCACATCACTCTCGCCCTCGCCCTCACCCTCGCCCTCACCCTCACCCTCGCCCTCATCCTCACCCTCGCCCTCACCCTCGCCCTCACCCTCGCCCTCACCCTCGCCCTCACTCGCCTCCACTGCTCCCCATCCCCAGAGGATCGAATTCAAGATCCTCATCCTCGCCTACAAGGCCATTCACGGCCTCGCTCCCTCCTACCTCTCCGACCTACTATCCCCCTACCTACCTGCCCGTACCCTCCGTTCCTCTGGCTCCGGTTTGCTCCTCATCCCCCGCCCCAACCGTTCTACCATCGGTGGCCTTCAGCCTCTCAGTCCCGAGGCTCTGGAACTCCATACCCAGTGCCTTTGCCGCTTCCTCCCTTTCCTCCTTCAAGGCCGGTCTCAAGACCTTTCTCTTTGACCTTCAGCCTTCAGCTCTACTCTCGACTCTCTACCCCCTCCTCGCTCCCTCCCTTCCCTCCCCTCACCATTTCCCCCCTCCTCGCTCCCTCCCTTCCTTCCCCCTGACCATTTCCCCCCTCCTCGCTCCCTCCCTTCCCTCCCCCTGACCATTTCCCCCCTCCTCGCTCCCTCCCTCCCTCCCCTCACCCTGACCATTTCCCCCCAATGCTCGGGTCCCGACCCAACTGTCCAGCGCCTTGGGACGTCCTCCCGACATGAAAGGCGCTCTATAAATGGAATCTTGTTGTTGTTGTTGTTGCAGCCAAAGCCCTAACTAACGGGGAGGGGGGCCGTGGCTGGACAAGCTGCGGGAAAGCACTAATGGCACGTTATGTGGGTTTAGCTGGTTAGACTCCAGCAGTTACCCCAACATACCCTCTGGGGCCCCCCCAAGCCTTGGCTCCTGCCAAACTGCATCTAATACTCTCCGGACTTAGGTAAACAGGGGGCGTCCCTCCAGGGAGAGAGAGAGAGCGCATTCCATCCCGACCATCTCTCTCTGGGGTTTCCAGGTGTGGGGGGGGATGTGGGAAATTCCCAGTTGGGTTTTGAGGCTCTTAAACAGGTGATGGGTCTCCACGTGTGTCAGACACTCACCTGGGCAAAAAACATTAAACAACAACAGCTTACACTGTACCACACAGGGCAGCGTCTCAGAGCGCCTTATAGTGGTGGAGCCTGACTCCGAGCCGGGGGGAGGGGGAGGGGGCCGTAAGCTCGGTCGAAGAGGAAGGTTTTCAGGCGGGACTTGAAAAAGGGGAGAGAGGAGCACGGCAGAGGGACTGAGGGGGAGAGTTCCAGAGTTTCAGGCTGTAGCGGCTGAAAGCGCAACCTCTGATGGTGGGGCGGAGGGTGCGAGGGACGAGCAGGAGCTGGTGCCAGTCGAGCGGAGGCGTCTGGTGGTGGATTGGGGAGTGAGGGGGTCGGAGAGGTGGGGAGTGAGGGGGTCGGAGAGGTGGGGAGTGAGGGGGTCGGAGAGGTGGGGAGGAGGAGGTGGGAGAGGTGGGAGTGAGGAGGTCGGAGAGGTGGGGAGTGAGGGGGTCGGAGAGGTGGGGAGTGAGGGGGTCGGAGAGGTGGGGAGTGAGGGGGTCGGAGAGGTGGGGAGTGAGGGGGTCGGAGAGGTGGGGAGTGAGGAGGTCAGAGAGGTGGGGAGTGAGGAGGTCGGAGAGGTGGGGAGTGAGGGGGTCGGAGAGGTGGGGAGTGAGGAGGTGGGAGAGGTGGGGAGTGAGGAGGTCGGAGAGGTGGGGAGTGGGGGGGTCGGAGAGGTGGGGAGTGAGGGGGTCGGAGAGGTGGGGAGTGAGGAGGTCGGAGAGGTGGGGAGGTGCCAGGGAGTGAAGGGATTTTGAAGTCGATCTTACCACGTGCCATTGACCCAGCCGTCAGCCACTCCACACCTCCCGCCCCCGCAGGCTAAGGGCAGCAGTCACTGTGTCACTCTCTGAGATGTCTCCTGGATGAGGAGCCCAACATAGTGGCTGTGTGTGTTTGTGTGTGAGTGTCTTCCCCTCCTCTTTCATCACCACTATAACCTATATGAAACCAACCACCTGCTCCCTCGACCCCGTCCCTACCCCTCTCCTTACCTCCCAGCTCCACCTGCTTGCCCCTCTACTCACAGACATCATAAACCTCTCCCTATCCACTGGTACTGTTCCCACTCCATTAAAAACCACCGTCATCACTCCTATCCTTAAAAAACCTTCCCTGGACCCATCTCTTCACTTCACCTCCACAAACGGCTTCTCCTCCAGCCCCCGAACCGTCTTGTGTGGCGTTCCTCAGGGCTCTGTCCTTGGTCCCCTCCTCTTCAACATCTATATACTCCCTTTTAGTGACATGGGGTCAACTCCCACATGTATGTGGATGACATCCAACTCTCTCTCTCTGCCTCCACCCTCGACTCCAGGACCCACTGCTGTCCTGACAGAATGTCTGTCAGACATCAAGTCCTGGATGAGAGCGAACTTTCTTCAGTGGAACATCAACAAGACCGAGGCTCCTGATCGACTCCCGTCAGCACCTCCTCACCTCAGGCGCTGACAGCATCACCATCCCTGGGGCTCACTCCCCCTCACTGAGCCAGTCCCAAACCTTGGGGTCTTGTTTGACCCTCAACTATCCTTTCTACCCCACATCTGTGCCATGACCCGCTCTGCCTTCCCCACCTCCGCAACACCCCCCGACTCCGCCACTGTCTCACACCGCAGCCCCCGAGACCCCCACACACACCTTCATTACATCGAGGCTCGACTATGCAAACTCACTGTTTGTCGGCCCCCAACTCCTCCCTCCACAGGCGGCAGATCATCCAGAACTCTGCAACCCGTGTCCTCTCCCATACCAGGCTATATGAACCCTATCACCCCCATCTTCGCCCGACTCCACTGGCTTCCCATCACACAGAGGATACAGTTCAAGATCCTGGTCCTCAACTTCAAAGCCCTCCATGTTCTTGCTCCCCACTACCTCTGCCACCTCCTAACCCCCTCCCATCCTGCTCGCCCCCTCCGCTCAGCGGGCTCCGGCCTGCTTCATGTTCCCCATTATTGGCAGCCGGGCCTTCTGCCTCACCCCCTCCCTCACCACCTTCAAGACCCATCTCAAGACCCTCTTCTTCGACCATGCTTTTGATCTCCCTGTTTCCCCCCCCTGCCCTCCCGCCCCCCCGACCCTCAGCTCGGGTCCGAAGCTCTGACTGTCCAGCGCCTTGGGACGTCCTCCCGACATGAAAGGCGCTTTACAAATGTAATTTTGTTGTTGTTGTGTGTGTGTGGAGCCCTGGCACTGAGAGGGTTAACAGTTCACTTGCGAGCGAGAGGGAAAGAGAGAGGGAGAGTGGGGAGGATAGAGAGAGAGTAACGGTGGGGGAGAAGGAAGGATATGAAGGAATGAGCAAGAGAGGCTCAGGAGGAGAAGTTAGAGCTGGGAGAGTGAGTTCAAGGGAAAAATGGAGGGACATGGAGAGCGTAGGGAAGGTAGGAGTGTGGTAGGAGGATAAGAGGGAGAGAGGGAAGGGAGGATGAAGGGAATGTGGTAGGGAGGAAGGGTTGGATGGTTGGTTGGAACATGAAGCTCCTGTGGTTGTGATGACATTGGCTGTTCTCTCCTCACACAGGAACCCTAACCCTGTGGGAGGGGTGTCTGGTCCATGTGCCCCCGGCTCCCTGCCAGCCTGGCCCCCAGTTACCACCAGCGGCCCCCGGGCTGGCAGCTACATAGAGCTAACGTGTGGCCTGGAGAGTCACAGGGGCCTGAGGAGGGATGCCTGCTCCTTCTGGACCGACTACATCCCCACGCTCCGGACCTACACAGGTAAACCCCAGCCCAGGTCTGGTCCAGGCCTCCACATGGGAAAGGTTGTATTTTTAGGTCTGTTCGTTCTACAACACAGACAGCGCTGCCAGGCGAGCGTCATATAACCCCAACACACACACACGCACACACACATACACACACAATATACACATATACACACACATAAACACACATACATTTATATACATACACACATATATCCCATGACTGTTCTCTCCCTCTCTCTCTCTCTCTGCTTCTGTCTCTCTCCCTGAATGCCACACTCTCTCTCTGTCTCGTTTCGCCCACAAAATATACAGTCACTCCTTTATAATAATAATAATAATCCTTGCATTTGATATAGCGCTTTTCACGTCGGGAGGACGTCCCAAAGCGCTTCACAGAACACACTGTAAAGTGAATTGACTGTATATTTGTGGGCGAACGCGGCAGCCAATTGCGCACAGCAATGTCCCACAAACAGTCGGGGATTGAAACTGACCAATTTATTATTGTTTTTGGTGTTGGAGGGATTATTATTAGGCTCTGTGTGGAGTAAGGAAACTTGCCCAAGGTTTCGCCCTCTGCCTGGAACTGAACTCAGGTCTCTCACTTGCAAAGCGAGTGCTCTAACCACTGAGCTACAGGACTCCACGCGCACATACACACACACACACACATACACACACATAGACACATACATACACACATATACATATACACACACACATATACATATACACACACTTATACATACACACACACACAAATATACACACACATATACACACACACAGGGACAGAGAGACAGAGGGCGAGAGATGTCACGAGAGAGCAAGAGAGGGATAGAGAGAAAGGGAGAGGGTGAGAGAAAGAGAGTGATAGAGACAGAGGGAGAGAGCGGAGAGCAGCCCTTTTGCAGACAAACACGGCAGCTGTTATGCACACCGCACGAGGCCACAAACAACAACATCAACAACTTGCATTTATACAGCGCCCTTCTCACTGGGGGGTGTGGAGAGCAGGTGATGTGATGGTGCGTTGTTGCTGCTGTTGTTGAGTCACTGTGTGTGATGTTTCAGTGGGAACTGTGGCCGGTGATGGTGGGGGGGCCACAGCCCAGCCAAGCCCCCCACAGCACGGAGAACCCTACAGCTGAGCCCGGAGCGCCACCCGCCACCCGCCACCCGCCACCCGCCACCCGCCACCCGCCACCCGCCACCCGCCACCCGCCCGCACAGCGAATCCCAATCAGACAGTTCACTCCCACACAGGAAACTGGAATAGGAACTCGAAGAATAAAATTATCATTCACTAAAAACATTGGTCTCACTGGTCCGTATGTCATAGCCTTCCTCACTCACACACACACACATACACACACTCACACACTGACACACACACTCACACACACATACACACTCACACACACACTCACACACACATACACACACACACACACACACATACACACACTCACACACACATACACACTCACACACACATACACACTCACACACACACACACACACACATACACTCACAAACACACACACACACTCTCCCAAATACTCACAAACACACACATTCCCAAACACTTATACACCATTACACACACTCACAAACACTCACAAAGCACAACTCAACCCACGGCTGTGTGTGAGACGCTGCTCTGCGTAATTTGCTGCTGCATTTCGCCCACAAAATAGACAGTCGATTCACTTTACAATATATTCCGTGAAGCGCTTTGAGACGTCTCAACGACGTGATGAGGCGCTGCGTGAAATATGAAGATTATTATTATTATTAGCTGTCAATCTCTTTCTGTCGCTCTCTCTCTCTGTCTCTCCCTTTGTCTCTCCGGTTCTCTGTATCTTTTCCTCTCTCTCTCTCTCTCTCTCTCCTGGAACACAAGCACTTAACGTTGATCAGATTTAAGAGTTTGAAGTGAATGATTTGCGGATTGCCTTCAGCAGAAGCTGAGTCCTCTCCGGTGTTTGTGCACTGTGTGGCTGCGCTGATTAGTTCTAACCTTAAAACTTTCCGAAACCACAGCCCGAAGTGAGCAGCAAACGTGAGGGGAGAGGGGACCGATGCCCAGATTACACAACGGCCTCGTTCACTCACTTATTCACACACTCGCTCACTCACTCGCACACTCATTCAGTCGCTCGCTCACTCACTCGCACACTCACTCAGTCTCTTGCTCACTCACTTGCACACCCACTCAGTTGCTCGCTCACTCACTCGGACATCCACTCAGTCACTTGCTCACTCACTCGCACACTCACTCAGTCTCTCGCTTACTCGTTCAGTCATTCACTCACACACTCGCATTCTCACTCGCTGGCTCACCCACTCACTCTGTCATGGTTCAGGAATGAGGTAGGAATGTGAATCATTCCGTGAGGACAAGCCGCAGGAAAGTACACAAAACTCTTTGGAAACTCATCATATCGTGAATTTCAGCTGCGAGTCCTGAGCTGTAATGATGACAAAGCTCAAACCCACACTGTACACAGGACCCTCAACAACAACAACTTGCACTTATATAGCGCCCTCCACACAGGGCAGCATCTCAGAGCATTTAACAGGGAAGGAACCTGACTCCGAGCCGGGGGGAGGGAGGGGACCGTAAGCACGGTTGACCAGGAAAGTTTTCAGGCAATACTTGAAAGAGGGGAGAGAGGGGGCAAGGAGAGGGACTGAGGGAGAGGGGTCCAGAGTTTGGGGGCACAGTGGCTGAAAGCGCAATCTCGATGGCGGTGCAGAGGGTGCGAGGGACGAGCAGGAGCCAGTGCCAGTCAAGCGGAGGCACTGACCGGGTTGTGAATTGGGGACTGAGTGGGTTCGGAGAGGTGGGAGTGTGGGGGTCGGAGAGGTGGAGAGTGAGGGGGTTGGAGAGGTGGGGTGTGAGGGGGTTGGAGAGGTGGGGAGTGAGGGGTTGGACAGGTGGGGAGTGAGGAGGTGGGACAGGTGGGGAGTGAGGGGGTTGGAGAGATGGGGAGTGAGGGGGTTGGAGAGATGGGGAGTGAGGGGGTCGGAGAGGTGGGGAGTGAGGGGGTCGGAGAGGTGGGGAGGTGCCAGGGAGTGAATGGATTTGAACACGAGAGTGAGAGCGTCTTGAAGTGGATGTGTTGGGTGATGGGGAGCCAGTGGAGCCTGGGCCAGAGCGGGTGAGATGTGGGGATGGAGTTTGCTCCGGGTCAGTGTGCTGGTGTATACCATCACCCACTTTGTACAGTCTCCCCATCATCCCACTTCCCCCCGACCTCTTAACCCTGTAAACCAAAGCCCTAACTAACGGGGAGGGGGGTCCTCGCTGGACAAGCAGCGGGAAAGCTGCCGGACAGTGATATCAATGGCCGAGCGGTGTGGGTTCAGCGGGTTACACTCCAGCAGTTACCCCAACACACACTCTGGGGTCCCCCCAAACCTTGGCTCTCGCCAACCTGCGCCTAAAAAAAAATTGTTCACTCAATCCACGACTGTTTGTGGGACGCTGCTGTGTGTAATTGGCTGCTGTGTAAAAATACAGTCAATTCACTTTACAGTGTCTTGTAAAGCACTTTGAGACGTCTCAATGACGTGATCAGGCGCTGTATCAAATGCAGAGATTATTATTAATTTGGATTACGGTTGATGCACCAACTCTGGATCCATCACGTCTGAGAAAGCTGATAGGAGACAAGTCAGGAAATTACTTCAGGTGAAGAAGCAATGATCAGGAACATATCTACATGTGAGAAGAGATTAAACGGAATATTATAAAGAGTGAATGAGACGTACAGACTGAAAGACACACTTCCAGAGTGTGGGGGCAGAGAGGCCACCGATGGTAGGGCGGGTCGGGCGGGAGGCATGGAGCAGCCGGAGCCCAATGAGCGGAGGGAGCGGGGAAGTTGGTTGGGAGTCAGCAGGTCAGAGAGGTAGGAGAGGGCGAGGCCATGGATGGCCTTAAAGCTGAGGACGAGGATCTTGAACTCGATCCTCTGGGGGATGGGGAGCCGGTGGAGTTCGGCGAGGGTGGGGTGATGGGGTCGGGCGAGGGTGGGAGTGATGGGGTCGGGCGAGGGTGGGAGTGATGGGGTCGGGTGAGGGTGGGGGTGATGGGGTCGGGTGAGGGTGATGGGGTCGGGCGAGGGTGGAAGTGATGGGGTCGGGCGAGGGTGGGAGTGATGGGGTCGGGCGAGGGTGGGAGTGATGGGGTCGGGCGAGGGTGGGGGTGATGGGGTCGGGTGAGGGTGATGGGGTCGGGTGAGGGAGGGAATGATGGGGTCGGGCGAGGGTGGGAGTGATGGGGTCGGGCGAGGGTGGGAGTGATGGGGTCGGGCGAGGGTGGGGGTAATGGGGTCGGGCGAGGGTGGGGGTAATGGGGTCGGGCGAGGGTGGGAATGATGGGGTCGGGCGAGGGTGGGAGTGATGGGGTCGGGCGAGGGTGGGAGTGATTGGGTTGGGCGAGGGTGGGAGTGATGGGGTCGGGCGAGGGTGGGAGTGATGGGGTCACGGAGTCTGGTGCGTGAGAGTACATGAGCTGCAGAGTTTTGGATGATCTGCAGGTTGTGAAGGGAAGAGGTGGGAAGGCCGATGAGGAGGGAGTTCCCGTAATCGAGCCTTGAGGTGACGAATGTGTGGGTGAGGGTTTGGGGGCTGAGGGGTGAGGCAGTGGCGGAGTCTGGCAATGTTTGTGGAGGTGGTGGTAGGCAGTGCCGGTCATGGCGCGGATGTGGGGGAGAAAGGACAGTTCAGGGTCAAACAAGACCCCCAGGTTCCTGACCGGGTTAGTGAGGGTGAGTGTGCAGCCGTGGAGGCTGGTGCTGCCAGCGTCTGAGGGGCGGAGGCGCTGGCGCGAGCCAATCAGGAGGGCCTCGTTCTTGCTGACGTTGAGTTGGAGAAAGTTGTCCATCGTCCAGGATTTGATGTGGGACAGGCAGTCGGTCAGGACGCCAGTAATTCTAGTTCAGGGTGGAGGCAGAGAGGTAGAGTTGGGTTACTCCATGTCTGCGGATGACGTCACCATGTGGGAGTATGTGGAGGGTGAAGAGGAGGGGACTGAGGACAGGGCCCTGAGGAACACTGCATGAGACAGTGGAGGAGAAGCCGTTTGCTCTGACAAAGTGGAGGTGTGAAAGGTAGGACCTGAACCAGTCAAGGACAGAACCTTGAAGGTTGAGGTGGGAGGAGAGGCGGTGGAGGAGGATTGTGTGGTCTACAGTATCAAAGGCAGCGGAGAGGTCGAGGAGGACGAGGAGGCAGAGGGAGCTCTGGTCACACGTGGTCAGGATGTCGTTTGTGACCTTGACCAGAGCAGTTTCCGTGCTGTGGGGAGCACAGAAACCCCGACTGGAGAGGCTCATGGAGGGAGCGGGAGGAGAGGAAAGAGCGAAGCTGAGAGACAACGGCTCTCTCAAGGACCTTACACAGAAAAGGGAGGTGGGAGATGGGCCGATAGCTGGATACTGTGATGGGTCACGGGAAGGTGTCTTCAAGGTGGGGGTGATAATGGCTGTTTTGAGGGGGGAAAGGAACAGTGCCGGATGGCAGAGAGAGGTTGAAACACACAGAGAGACGCACACACTCACAGACACACAGAGAGAGACACACACTCACAGACACAGAGAGAGAGACACACACTCACAGACACAGAGAGAGAGACACACACTCACAGACACAGAGAGAGAGAGAGAGAGAGAGAGACACTCACAGACACAGAGAGAGAGACACACACTCACAGATACAGAGAGAGACACACTCACAGACATACAGAGAGACACACACTCACAGGCACCGAGAGAGAGACACACACTCACAAACACAGAGACACAGAGTCACAGACACAGAGACACACAGTCACAGACACAGAGAGACACACTCACAGACACAGAGAAAGACACACACTCACAGACACTCAGAGAGAGATACACTCACAAACACAGAAAGAGAGACACACACTCACAGACACAGAGACACACAGTTACAGACACAGAGAGAGATACACACACTGACAAACACAGAGAGAGACACACAGACACAGAGTCACACAGTCACAGACACAGAGAGAGACACACTCACAAACACACAGAGAGAGACACACAGAGGCACATGAACTCAGAGACACAGATACAACACAGAGGGACACACAAACAGAGAGAGACACAC